GAGGTAAGCCACCGGGTGCCAGTCTCCATCGTCCCCAACCTGGGAGAGGACAGCACCTATGGCAAAATCGGAAGTATTGCACTCTACCCGGAATGGCTGGTCAGCGCGAGGCATCAGGAGGACTGGGGAGGACGTAAAGGCCTGCTTCATGCGATTGAACACTTCTTCCTGTTCGGGACCCCAATTCCAAGGCACTGTCTTCTTTGTAAGGTCGAAGAGTGGACGCGCGATAGACAAGAAATCAGCAATGAAGCGACGGTAGAAGTTGGCGAAACCGATGAAGGACTGAATTTCCTTGACGTTGCAGGGGGTAGGCCACTCCATGATGCCCGCAACCTTAACGGGGTCCATCGACATCTGGTTGTGCAATACCACCAGTCTCAGGAACTCGACACTTTCACGCGCGAACTGACACTTCTCGGGCTTGAGGTAGAGGTCGTGATCTTGGAGCCGTTGTAGAACTCGGTTGACAACATCATGATGCTGCGTCAGCTCCTTCGTATGAACCAGGATGTCATCCATATAGATGCTGATGACGCCTTCATCAATCATGTCCCTAAAGATCTCATTCATCATGGTCTGAAACGTGGCCGGCGAATTGGTCAAGCCAAAGAACATCACCAAAGGCTCAAATAGTCCACGGTTTGTCTTGAACGCCGCCTTCCATTCGTCACCCTCTTTAATGTGGATGTTGTTATAACCCCAACGCACGTCCATCTTGGAGAAGATCTTGGCACCCGTGAGCCGGTCCACAATGTCACTGATAAGCGGCAGCGGATAGGTGTTCTTGACCGTGCCGGTGTTGAGGATGCGGTAGTCCTGAACCGGTCGAAGGGTTCCGTCTTTCTTTTTCACAAAGAAAAATGGACTCGCCATGGGTGACTTGGATGGGCGCAGGATGCCGCGTTCCCGACCCTCCTTCAGAAGGGTGTCCAGTGCCGTCTGCTCATTTGCCGACATCGGGTAGACCTTGCAGTTGAGCAGATGGGTCTGCAGACACTCCTCAAACTCCGGTTTCAGGTCAATGGCATGGTCGAATGGACCGTGGTCGGGAAGACGCTCCGATGAGATTTTGTCAAACACCTTCAAGTAGCGTCAGTATTGTTCCGGGACGAGTTCTTCAATAGACTTAGCTGAAGTTCCGGTTGCATGTTTCTCCGCGAGCTCCTGAGAGCGGGTGAAGGCGGCGCGAACGTTGACGGCGTGATCCTCTTCTTCCTCCGTATCTTCAGTGTACTCGGTCGTGTACATGAGCACATCGCCTGGTTCAAAGGTGCAGTGCTCAATGTCAGGCACCACACGCACGAGCTCCAAGCCGCGGAGCACCCAGTCCACCGAAATTGGAATAACGTGTTCAACCACCGGCTCATCCTCGTCCACGTAGTTGTTGTCTAGCTGTACGGTGGCCAACAAACGTGGGGCGGGGGTGGGGAAGTCCGGTTTAATGTGCATCATGGGAAGTGCGGTGTTGATCAGCCGCTGCCGGAGTTCCTGACGTAGGCATAGATCCTCCTCATCGTCAACCTCCACCATGGAGATGCCGTGTTGGCATGGTGGGGGAACGGACAGCAAGGAGGGAATGTCGTCACCGGTGTCAAGGATGAGCGGGTGATCTGCTGGGAGGGCGCGCTGCTGCTGCCATGAATGGAGTGCAACCTCGTCCTCATCGATCACTTCTTCAAGCCGTATGCCGCGGACCTCGAAACTTGCCGTAGTACAAAGATTGGTCACCGGAGGATTGACCAGTACGCACTCGGGTGGGCAGCGCGTCATGTCTACTCGGTCCTGCGACCAATCGACCTCCGGGTTGTGCGTGTCGAGCCAGTCTGTTCCAAGGATAATGTCATGATTGCCGATGTCCGCTACCAACAGCTGGACCCGCTCTTCATGGTATGATTGCTGATTCTGGGAAGGGAGATGGAGCGTCTGGGTGGTGGTAAACCAGATGGGCCCCATTCCATTGTCAGAACCGTCAATGTTGCGAACTGGGATGGGGCGCGGGAGTGGGGAAAGAGTAAGGCCTTGGTTCTTGGCAAACCGGTGATTAACCAGGATGCTTTCTGCTCCGCTATCTTGTAAGGCGAAGGCGTCGATTTTACGTCTGGTGATTTGTCCTACTAGCTGGGTGGCGAATACGATCGAGGGTTTCTGCGCGTTTTTGACAGCGGATACGTAGATGCATTCAGGATACGAGCACTCACAAGCGGTAGTAGTACATTTGACAGTCTGAGACGAGAGAGCCCTGCGCGACGACGCAGCGGCAGAGCGTTCTAAAAATCCTTCAGGGCCTCCAACTCCTGGGCCCGTTCCTCCTTCCCCATGTCCTTGAGCTGAGCAATGAGCATTGCAAACACCCCGACCTGCTCCTTCTCCTTCTCCTTCCCTTTCCCTTCCGGGCGCTCTGGGCATTCAAAGAACCTGTGGCCGGTCTTGCGGCAGTAGAAACACCCTCCGCGGCGGCCAAGGTCCGCACGCTCTTCCTTCGTCAGGCGCGTAAAGGCAGCCTGGACGCGGGCAGGCGCCTGGCTAGAGGAGGATCCCTCTGCGCAAGTGCCCGACAACTGCGCGGGCTTGTGCGTCCAAACCTTGTCCTCTTCCTGCGCGGCGCGGTGATGGGCATCCTTGTCGTCGAGCGTGACCTCCTTCCACCCGCGGATCGTGCGAGGCGGCTCCGCCATGTCGTCAATCTTCTTGCGCAGGACTCGGTCAAGGCCACGTCTAAATGCCTGGACGAGCGCTGCATCGTTGTAGCCGGCGTCCTGCTCGAGTCGATCGAACATAGCGATATAAGAACGCACAGGCTGCGAGCCTTGCTTGAGTGCCTCAAACTTGGCCTGTGCCGCGCGCTGCTTGTCGAGGACACCAAAGCGGAGGCGGAAGAGCTTGACCACCTGCGTGATGGTTGCGTACTCTGGGAAGCGCTCCCAACACTCGCGCTCATCGAGGTGCGCCTTCATGATCTGCGCCGCCCAGAGAAGGCTTTCCGGACCACTGCACCCTTGCAAGAAGAAGTACACTTGATCAGCATTGGTCCTGAACCGCACCATATGAAGCTGAATGAAGAAGGAGACGCGCGTGATATAGGCCTCCACATCCGCCTCCTTGTCCATGAACGGTGGGGGAAGCGGAAGCTTGACGCTGAAGGGGTTGCGCTCTGGATGCCCAAGATTGCTCCAGTCGTAAGAGCCGTTCTCCGTTGGGGGAGGACCCATAGGGTGGCGGAACTGGCCGGAGTTGGTGTGCCAGTGGAACGACATTTCCGAGGCGGCCCGCGACTCTTGGCTAGCAGTGGCAAACGACGACTGATCAAACTGTTGCTGCTGTTGCTGTGTGTCTGGTGGGGGTTGCTCAGTCGAAGTCTCATCTGGCGGGGGTTGGGACTGCTGTTGCTGAGTATTGGGAGGAGGGCGAGGAAGCGGCCGATGGCGAGGGAAGGCGTTCTGCATGTAGTCGATGCGGCCAGGTGACGGGTTCATGATGTTGGCCATTGAGGAGTGTTGCGATGTGTGGGAGGTGTTGGATGCTGTAGTGGGAGATGTGTGGATAGGTGGAGCTGGTGGTGCAAGTGTGGAAGGGCCGGGGCGAGGCGAGGCGGTGCGAGATATGTCCTTGTAGCCGGTGGTGGTCTTGGTGGTGGAGTAATCGAGCTGATTGAGAGTTGGGCCTTGAGGCGCGTTCTTGGCTGGGAGAGGATAGAAGATGTATGGGAGTGCTGGGTTATTGTTCGGATTGGGAAGAAGATAATGACATGCTTTGTCTCCTCCTATCCAACAGAAAAGCCTTCCCTTGTTAATGAATACTCCTGGGTGTTGCGGTTGTGGTTGCGCCACGATGTCTTAACAGCGGAGTGGGTCGAAGCGTTGATCGGGATGGAATGCGAAGCATCTCGAGTTGTACGGGGTTCAGAAAGGATCGCGTACGTTCTTGTATAGGCGGGGTAGAGGTCTGAGGCGGTGGTTCCGGGTGCGGTGGTAGCGGGTGTCGTCTGTAGGGTGGAGGCGGGTGTTCCAGCTCATCAAAGGTTTGCCAGTACTGATGGTGATGGAGTCGAGCGCAATACAGTGCG